TAATTATTTTGTTTCTTTTTATTCGATTAATTTTCAACAAAACAACTTATTTTTTGTGGGATATATTTTGAATGATACATTTTTTTTTTTCTTTATAGATAATTATATATGGTATACAATACTTGATTTATTAATTTTAAATGAATATAATTAACTCTTTTTGAAAAGTTTGTAAGTTGTAATGGTTATCATCATATTAAATTTCTTTTAAATTATATTTGTTTATTATTTTACCTTCAAAAATTATTCTACAAAAAATATTTTTAAAAAAAATTAAAAAAAAAAGGGTTAAAAGAGTTGACCTGTGAACCCCCATGGATAACCCATGTCTAACCCACTTTTACATGTTGGAATAAGATCGGGTTAATGGGTTGGATGTGGTTTTACCACCTCTAGCAATGTAGGATAATTTTTTTAATATAATATCTTTTTAGAGAAATTTGTTTTGCGATTCGAATTGATTTGAATTGTAAAATAAAAATCGTATAATAAAGAGGGCCTTCAGTACTATAGGGGGGGTTCAACTTTTATTAAACAATTAGTGTTTTATAGTTTGAATTAACTTGAATTGTAAAACACTTTTTTAATTTTTTTTATATAATGTATATATATTATTATTAAATAAATAAATACACTTAATACTATGTGTTTTAAATAAATAAAAAATTAATTATTTAAATAATATAAATAAATAAATAAATTATTTTTAAATTATTTTTTGTGAGAAATATTACTGTATTTGCTTGAAATGCTAACGTGGTATTGTTTTACTCCTAAATATTTTTCGTGAAAAAAATCTATTTTACTCCTTCAATTTCCCTTTACTAGTGTACTTTTCTGTTCATTGTAACATAATATTAATAGGTATAAAAGCTAATATTATGACACTTTTTTTTGGCACATCACAACTATTAATGCAACTGTTTGAAAATTGAAAGCAGGTTTTTTTTTTTGTGAAATTAATATTTATCAATTAAATTTTTAAAAAGTTAAAAAAATATATTCTAATATTACATTATCTTATTAAAATATTATGAAAAAAAAATTTAAACAATTTAATTTTTTCTTTAAAAATAAGTTATTTTAATATTTTTATATGATAATTTAATAAAATAACATAGTTTCAAACGTTTTTCTTCTAACTTATTTGAATTTAAATTTTATTTTATCCTTTAACAATATTACATTTTTATTTATAATTTAAATATTTATATATTTAATTACAAAAAATTTATATATATTTTTTAATATATATAATAAATTATATATAAAAAAAAGATAATACTTACCTTTTCTTAGATTCTTTCTCACTCACAACTTGAACATGAGATAATATAAAATTGATTACAAAATGCTATTTTAAATTCTCTAACCCAAACATGACCCAGATAGAAGGGGCGGGATTTGAAGCGTCGAGTGTACGACAGTGAAGTTGAAAAGTAACAGTCAAAGGGAAAGGAAGCAACTAGGAAGGGTGGGGGAGGCAGGCTCGCCGTGGAGGAGGTGCTACCTCTATAATGTGCCACGTGGATGGTTGTCGTTGGTGGGACCCGAAACCTGCGGCCTGGAAATAATACATATATGGGAGGTGCTACGTGGCCCAGCGTTGGCCTCAGTCAAGTAGACCAATTTCTAGAAAGTGGATTCAGTCGGCTGGTTGTTGAGAGGTTTCCAGGGTAGAGACTGTTAGGTTCCGTTTTCCGGTGGGGAAATAAGGCAACGATGATAGAGGTGGCGGACGGGCGGGTTGACTTGGGTTTATGTGGATTACGAGTTTTAGGAGGTAGGCTATATATGGGTTGTGGGTTAATAGTTGTTAATCTCAATCTAACGCTAATAGGTTATGGATTAGCTAGCAGATTGAGTTGGTTTTTTTTTTTTTTTTTATTAGTCACGTTATTAATATTAATTTATTAAAATTAAATTATAATAATTTTAAACTG